AAACTCCATCTGGCTACAACATATCATTTTTAGATGTATTGGCTTGATTTACTAAAATTGCTAAGAATCTGCATTTATAGGAGATATTGGCTTGTAGTTGTCTTGGAATATCTTTTTGTGTGATGTTGGTAGTACTAGTGTAAATACTGGCCAAAATAACTTGGAGAGTATTGGCTCTTCTTTAGTTTTTTGGAAGAATTTGTGTAGACTTGAACTTTGGAAGGTCAAGGTAGGTAGATATCCCCTTAACTGGAAAATTAAAGAGGGATTCCACCTCAAGTTTTTCATGTACAAATATTTTTAACTACAATTTCAACTTTTGTAATGGATGTAGAGCTGTTCAGGTTATTATTTCTTTTTGAGTAAAATCTGATAGCCTGTTCTTTTAATAAATTTATTTTTTTCATCTAAGCTGTCAACTTCAAGGGCATAGAGTTATTTGCATTATTCCTTTATTTTGCTTTTAATATCTATAGAATCTGCAGTGATGTCTCATTTCTGTTATTGCAAATTTACATCTTTCCTTTGTGAGATATAGCTAGAGGCTTGTTAATTTTATTGCGTTCAAAGAACTACTTTCAGTGTCTTTCTTTTCTTTGTTCTTTTCCCCATGCCTTCAGTTTCTGTTCTTACCCTCCTTTTTTCATTTTTCTTTTAGGTTTAATGTGCTATTTTCTCTAGTGTCTTAAGGTTGAAGCAGAGGTTATTAATTTGATATCTTTCTTCTTTTATAATACAGATATTTTAGCTTATAAATAACATTTTCAAGATGCACCCAAAATATTGTGATATGTTATGATTTTCACTCAGTTCAATTTTTTTTCCTTAAATTTTTCTTTAGACCTATTTTTTTTTCTTAGATCTATTCTTTGGAACACTTATTTTAAGTGCTTTACTTAGCTTACAGATATTTAGAATTTTTTTCTTTTTTTTTGGTTATTGATTTTAAATTTAATTTCACTATAGTTGGAAAATATGGCTCATATGATTTGAATTATTTCAGATTTACTTAGACTTGTGTTATGTTCTAGAACATGGTATGTCTTGGCAAGTGTTTTGTGTGCCCTTGAAAAGCATGAATATTCTGCACTTGAAAATAATGTTTATCTGCAGCTTAGGTCATATGAGTTTCAAGTTTCCTATATTCTTACTGATTTTCTCTCTACTCGCACTTAAGCTATTAATGGAAAAGGGTTGAAATCTCTGACCTTAATTGTTTGTTTTTTTCTAAAACTACCACAATTTCTTTAGTTTTTATCTGTTTGTGCTTTGTGTTACTAAATGTATACATTTTAAAATATTTTTGTTGTTTCTTGGTAAATTGAATGCTTGATTATTAAGAAACAATCTTTATCTCTGGTAATATTTTCTGTTTTCCTTTGTCTGATATTAATATGAACAATCCAACTTTTTGAAAATAGTGTTAGCATAGTATTTTGCATTCTTTATATTTCAAGTGGGTATTAAGGTTATATATATTTTTAGTGATGACTTTAGGGAACATTTAATTTTTCATTGTTCACTTTCAAATGATATTATACCACTTTGTGTACAGTATGACAAATGTGTAGTACACTCACAATTATCTTGGTCCTTGTACTATTGTTGTTATAAATTATATTTTCGTATACGGTATGGAGAAGGGAACGGCGGTCCACTCCAGCACTTATGCCTGGAGAATCCCACGGATAGAGAAGCCTGGCGGGCTACAGTCTGTGGGGTCACAAAGAGTCGGACATGACTGAGCGACTGATGTGATACACATTATAAATACTTTAGTACACCACTGTCGTTTTTCTTAAAACAGTCATCTTTTAAGAGAATTTTTTAAAAGAAAGAAATGTCATTTATATTTACCTTTCTTGATGCTCTTTATTTCTTCATTTTATTCTTTTCCACCTGGTGCCATTTTTCTTCTTAAAAGACATGTCTACTGGCTATGGATTATTTTTCAGCTTTTGTATGCCAGAAATGTATTTTGCCTTCATTTTTTTTTTTTTTGTCTTCATTTTTGAAACTTGTTTTGCTGGATATGTTTTGTGTTTTCTTTCAGAACTTTAAAGATGTTGTCTCAGAGTGTACACGATACAAAGTTACCGTGGTGTTATTGACTATATTTCCCGTGCTGTACACTATATCTGTGACTCGGAATATAGTTATAATAACTGTTCAACGTCCTCATTACTAATGATACTCTGTATATTTCTGAGTCTATTTCTATTGATTGATTTTCCTCTCATTGTTGATCATGTTTTCCTGCTGCTTTCCATGCCTGGTAAATTTTATTAGACATTGTCAATTTTGCCTTGCTGGCTACTAGATATTTTTCATATTTCTATGAGTACCCTTAAGCTTTTTCTGGATTACAGTTAAATTACATGAAAAATTTGACCCTTTTAACCTTTGTTTCTAAGCTGTGTTTTGTGGTGCCAGGGGGCCCTTGGTCTGGGGCTAGTTTTGCCCTAAGCCCTCGTTTTGCCCTAGTTTTGCTATTGAGGTAATATCCTCCTGCCTACCTGCCCAATGTCAATTACCTGCATCATTTTCTCTCTCTGTTCCCATGGGAACACAGGGGCTTCCCTGCTGCATCTGCCTGGATGGCAAGAGACCCGGGTTCCATCCCTGGGTTGGGAAGATCCCCTGGAGGAGGAAATGGCAACCCCCTCCAGCCCTCTTGCCTGGGAGATCTCATGGGCAGAGGAGCCTGGTGGGCCAGAGTCGATGGGGTCGCAAGAGTCAGACAGGACCTCACTCCTGTGTGTGCTCTCGGGGCAGTTCTCTGCCCACTGAGAGCTTCCTCACAGGCACGCATTGGCTGTCGCTCAGCTTTGCTCAGCAGGGCGACGTTTGACTTTGCAGTTCTTTGCAGCTTCTTATCTACATATCGTTCCTCTTTCTAGGAGCCTGACACCCTGACACCCTGACACCCGAGTTCTAGCTGCCATTTTTGTGGCAACAAAATCCGATTCCTTTTTTTGTTTTTCAGCTCAGGAAATGCACTTGATTTTGCCTCATTCCCCCCGCCCCACGGTGCTGGCATCCTGACCTCTCTGAGCAGGAGCTGGGCAAGACTAGGACCCGCCTGGCCTCTTCTCTCTCTCAGGGATCTCTGGCTGTGCTGCCTGATTCCAACATCTGAAAACTATTATTTTATATATATATATATAAATAAGGACTATATATTTTTTCAATTTTTTTTTGCAAAAGTCATTTTTCAATTGTTTCAAGTGGGGCGAGTGAGCCCCGCCCTGGTTACTCCATCTTGACAGAAATCTTACTGTTTCTGAAAGTGAATTAAATCAGTGCCTACGTTAACAGCTTAACGTAAGGGAGCTCACACATTTAACTAACATGTACTGAACAGCAGCGATTTCCTGGGCTTCACTCACGATGCCAGGCTGTGGTGGTGAGCTGGCCAGACAACACTCCTTCCCGCATAGAGCTTATACTCTGTGAGGTGTAGACTGGCAATAAAGCAGATGGCATGGGGTGTCTGATGCTAATGAGTGCCATCAGAGAAAATAGACCTAGGCGGGCAGAACTGGGAATCTGGTTGCTGTGCATTTAAAATTCAGGGGGCCATTGAGGAGAGGACATTGGATCAAGTACTTTCAAGACATGAGGGTGTGAGCTCTGTGGACACCTGCGTGGAAGAGAGCCAGGCAAAGGAGTGGCAAGGCGTGGCGCTGTCTGAGGTTCCTGAACCCCTGAGAAATAACTGGGAAACTACACTATAGACTGAGCAGAGTGAAGTTTGAGAAGAGAGAGTGATAGGTACACCCATAGTCTGTATTAGCATTAGAAAGAAGACTCTACTCTCCAGGCCTTTGGGGTCCAGATCATCAGAGATAGCTGAGGATAAACTTCCGACCCTTGTTCCCACACAGGGGAGCCCTGCTGGATGAGAATGAAGAGGTGAGTTCAGGATGATCCCTTTCGGCAGTGGTTGTGCTGTGGGAAGACGGGGAGGGTAACGGTGCAGCTGATGGGTGTGTCTAGGGGAGCCTTGAGCGCTCATGAAGCTGCTTGCATCTTCAGGTTACCCACGAGGAGCAGAGACCCACGAAGAAAGTGAGGAAGACGATGCATGTTCTGGTGGCCAGCAGCACCTTAGTAACAGCTGACAGGCTTCGTTTCTAACCTCTGTGATGGACACTTCTTTCCACTTCGGTTCTATGCGGGAGCGTGGTGAGTGATAAATGCAGATCCTGGGGTGTCCTGGAGCACATTTTTCTGGCCCTTTAAATCTTAATGTTGTCTGTAGTAAAGTAATAGTAATAACAGTCTCTCTCTTATAAGGGATTTCAGAAAGATGAATGATATTAGTATGCTCAAAGCTTTTATATCTCTGCCTGGAACACAGCAAATACACATGTGGTAAGACCTCATCAGATATTAGCTATCATGATCATCATCACCATCTTCACCACCACCATCGTGATTGCTGTCATCAGCAACCACATAACCAACATCATCACCACCATCACCATCACCACACCTTATCTTAACTCTCATCATCACCACTATGATCAGCAACGTAACAGACAGCATCACCCCTGTATCACCACCACCATCATCGTGATCTAACCATCACTACCATCACATCACCATCATCACTACCTTTATCATCACCATCACCATCACCCTATCATCAGTAACATCACCACCTTCAGCATCATTACCACAACCATCCCATCACTGTCAACACTACTTTTATCATTATCACCATTATCATCACCATCACCACACCTTATCTTAACTCTCATCATCACCACTATGATCAGCAACGTAACTGACAGCATCACCCCTGTATCACCACCACCATCATCGTGATCTAACCATCACTACCATCACATCACCATCATCACTACCTTTATCATCACCATCACCATCACCCTATCATCAGTAACATCACCACCTTCAGCATCATTACCACAACCATCCCATCACTGTCAACACTACTTTTATCATTATCACCATTATCATCACCATCACCACACCTTATCGTAACCATCATCACAATTAAAGTCAACAGCATAACCAAAATCATCTTCATCATCATCACTACCTTTATCATTTACCACCGTCATCACCATCACGACCACGATCATCGTCACCACTGTAATCACTACCGTCACTACCACACATCATCACCATCACCATCAACAACATCACCACCACCATGACCACATCTTGTCATCACCACCTTTACCACCATCATCATTAACATCACCGCCACCAGCATCACCATCGCCATCACCACCTTCAGTATCACCACTCCCAATACCAGCCTGAACTCATTCCTGAAAAGCTCTTCTTCCTAGCCTCAATATTCAACCTTTACTACCATCTTCAGAGGAACAGTTGAATGACACGCGCTTCCGTCCAGGGGAGAAGATGAGAATTCTCTAAGCTGGGTGCCAAGTTAATCCTGTCATCAAGAAGAGTGAATAAACCCTTGATTTCAGACCTAAGAAATGACTTCCTCCTGTAGACAAAACTAGTTATACAGAGCCCCTACTGCTTCTAATTCTACCCTTAGATTCACAGATAGAAGTGATTCCACCAGCACCAGAGCGTAGTGAATTTCAATTTCAATCATTTTATTGGCATGACAAGGCATATACAGGAATTGCCAATGTTGATGCATCAAATTTTGGAGTCTCAGAGGGGCAGTCGAGCACATCTCTATTTCTCATTACTGTCTTTCCAAGTCGGAGTCAGGATGTAGCTACCTTAAGATTGTTCCTGCCAAAATTTGGGCTTATTTCAGTTTTATAGTTTTTCTTCTTACTTCTGCTGTGACAGAATTTCTTCACCATTTTCAAAATTGGAGAAGAATATTGTCTGTATTTCTGCATCTTGTAAGGAGGAGTAAAGCCATTTTCTGTCCAGTTTAGTGCTTCCTTATGACAACTATTGAGTTATGTTCCAATTACTTTTTCTGGTTAGTGAGGTCAATAGTGCAGAAGATAAGCTTAGATTATTATAATTATTGTGCCTGTCAGGCAAAAATTGCAATGTTCAGGTACAGTCGGAGCTGGTCAGTTATTGAATACAGTTTAGTGATTACATGAGAACCATTTTAGGAATTGTTTCACCATCCTATCTTGAGATAAAATTATTGACCTTGAGATGTGACAGTTTGTGCAACAATCCATAGTACTTCTAAGAATTTTTTCTCATAGCATCTAGAGCACTGAATTATTACTTTTGTCTATTTGAATTTCTATCATGGAGTGCCATCATGGTGAGGGAAGAAACCAGTCAAAATATATAATATATATTGCATAGTAATAAAGCAAACTCTGGGAGACGGTGAAGGGCAGGGAAGACTGACATGCTGCAGTCCATGGGGTCTCAGAGTCTGACATGACTCAGCAACTGAAGAAAAACAACACTAAAGTATTGTCTTTAGCCTGATCTTTCCTTCCCTCATTTTTAAAAATCCAACATAGAAGTTGTAGAAATCCAAGAAACACACCGTGTTTTTCTAATACCCCTTAATTTTTCCTCCCAAATCTCTATTCCACACTTCTATAAAGGAATATCAGACATTAGAAATGGTATATAGTACCATAGATTAGAAAATTGTAGGTAGGTTTAGATATATCCTGACCCAGTTTTCTTAGCCCCACAGTATAATATAATCGTTTCAGTAAATTGAGGCTTTTCTGTATTTCTGGGCTTGCCCGGTGGCTTGGTCAGTAAAGAACTGAGTTGGTAGAGAACTGAGCCAGTAAAGAATCCACCTGCAATGCAGGAGACCAGGGTTTGACCCCTGGGTTGGGAAGATCCCCTGGAGGAGGAAATGGCAGGCAACCCACTCCAGTGTTCCTGCCTGGAGAATCCCATGGACAGAGGAGCCTGGTGGGCTACAGTTCATGGGGTCCCAAAGAGTCAGACACAGCTGAGCGGCTAAACACAGCATATAATATTATCTTTTCAGTAAATTGAGGCTTTTCTGACACTTCCTAAAAAATTAGTCTGAAAAATTGTGGTTTAAATGTTCTGTGCTACAACCCCCCCCCCCCCCCCCCACTGCTCCATGCCAGGGACATGCCCAGACCCTGCCTAGTGAGTTTTTATTTTGGGGAATCTATTTCTGCACCCCTCTTCTAATACCCCCTGTTGAATATTTCGCAATCATCTCCCCGGTGGTGAAAATGTTTTGAGCCAGGGCTGCATTTCAAACAGGTTTGCTTTCCCAAAGCCCGGAGGTGCCGACTCATGGTGCGCAGAAGAAAACGGATAATGAAGCACTTTAATTAACGTGAATATGATGGAATTTTAACTGAGGTTGATGGGCTCCGGTTAAGAATCAATCACTGTCTCCTAATCCTCTGGTGGATCTGAGAGTTTGTGAAATGAAACACCACCACAAGGTGCTCACGTCGGAAGAGGCGGTTGCGCGAGGGGACTTTGATTTATTGGACACCCGGCAGGACAGGTCTGAGGCAGTACCTGGGGCTCCGGGAGCCTGCAGGACTTGTGTCGTGAAGGTTATTCCTGCTCTCATAGCGTGTCACGCTCCGGTCTGCACTCAATCACCACCCCGCACTCTGAGGCCTGGGTTGATAAACATATTCATTATAGGAAGAATCATTCCTCAGACTGGTGATGAGTTGTGTTCTAGGGCAAGGGGAAGGGTCCCTGAGAGGGGCCCAGGGAGACACCCCAGGAGCTAACAAGCTCCTTGGCAGTTTTCTCTGGGTGCAATTTTCTGAACACTGTAAAGTCGTGGGGAGGGGGTTCTTCTGAGCCCTCAATAGTCCATAAGTGAAGTCGCTCAGTCGTGTCCGACTCTTTGTAACACCATGGACTGTAGTCTACCAGGCTCCATTGTCCATGGGATTTTTCAGGCAAGAATACTGGAGTAGGTTGCCATTTCCTTCTCCAGGAGATCTTCCTGACCCAGGGATTGAACCTGGGTCTCCCGAATTGTAGGTAGATGCTTTACCCTCTGAGCCACCAGGGAAGTCATAAATAAATCAAAGGTACGGTAATGCTGAAATCCCGTTATGGCTTGACATGCACTCAGGAAGGATTCTAGTCCCTGTCCAGGGTCCCCAACACTTTTGGGAGGTGCCGGAGGTCTTCCTGTCCCACCAGCCACATCTGTCCCCATCTTTGTGACCAGAACTGCCCAGCATGCAGCCTCCCCACCTGGCTATACCCAGCTGAGCTGGACCACGGGTCGGTCCTAGCCACCTCCTCGTCTGAGGCTGGCTGAGGCTGAGAAGGTGATGCTCTATCCTTCCTCACAGCTCCCCATTTGCCCAGGTTCTCTGGCCCCACAGGGTCAGGGGGCTGGGAGAGCCTGGTGAAGTGAGCTGTCCTTCCCGGCTGCCCCCGGACGCCCAGGCCTGCTGGCTGCCCCAGGCTCGGGCCTGCCCCACGGCCAGCTCCTGTCACCTCTCCATCTGTGAGCTCTCTCCATGGAATCGAGTCCACGTGGTTTTGAAGGGCTGCAAGCATTTCTGATCATATTACATTTTGTAAAGCTTGTAGTTGAAAAACACTGAACTTTTTCACTGAATTGCTGCTAATCTAGGTCACTACCTCCCTGCGATCCTGAAGCTGGCTTTTTAAGCCTCAGTCACACTTGACATTTATCCCTGCTGAACGTTACTTGATTGGTTTGCAGCACGTGTGTAGTGTGGCCTCGGTGCCCGGAGCCTTTGGCGTTGAGTGTTCTGAATAGGGCGGGGCAGGGGCTCCTCTCGAGGCCATCGAGATGGATGCCTATCCTCGGGGGATGAACCAGACCTTGTCCACCCTAGCCGCGCCTCCACTGAGGCTCCTGCTGTCTCACCTGCCAGCTGGCACGTCCTTGATGAGCTCGGTGGGTAAGCGGACCCCAGCATCTCCCTTCCTACAAACCTGGAATCTTACTGGACTAGAAGACTAGACCTTGGTCTAAAAGCGTCAAGGTCCCATGACTATGGTCACAAGTTCTCTGCTATTTTAACTCCTAACTCAGGCCACACAAGTGTCCAGTGAGCCTCTGACCGTGTGTGCGTGCACATGCTAAGCAGCTTCAGTCTGACCCTTTGTGACCCTTGGGCTGTAGCCTCCAGGCTCCTTTGTCCATGGGATTCTCCAGGCAAGAATACTGGAGTGGGTCACCATTCCTTCCTCCAGGGGATCTTCCCAACCCAGGCGTCGAACCCGTGACTTTTATGTCTCCTGCCCTGGCAGGCGGGATCTTTACCACCTGGCAATGCTGTATTTGGCCATTTGCAGACAGGTCGAGCTGTCAACAGGTGTGCACGTTTCAAGACAGGTGGGCTTGAGAGGAAGAGAGAGATCCTTCCAGAGTGCAATGTGTCACAAGAGCTGACCTGCACCTGCTACTTGAGGCTTGCTTGGTGATTTCATCCACACCAGCATCCTGTTCCCATGGTAACGGTTTAGGTATTAGGCATCACAGCCTCACAGGCTCAGCACAGACCTAGCAGGTGCCCGGATCCCGGGACCTGACCCCAGGGAGCACAGCCAGGACTCACTTAGGTCCAGCCTCTTCATTCTTAACCTACCGCGCGGCTGAAATCCTGCTCCTCCCTGCAGCTTGAAACATCATCAGAGCCCTTGGACTGTGACAACTTCGCTGGCATCAGGCTGCTGAGGGCAGAGGCGGGCATTGTAGAGCTGAGGGCCATATCTCCTGCGCGTCCTGTCACTCTAACGTCGTCAGAGTGATGCACACCTAGTCGCTGACTGTGTCCCCTCCTCAAGGCTGGGGATGGTGAGCTTTCCCACGGTCACCTACATGTCCTGCCCAGATCTGTCATGTCAGGTCCCCTGTTTATAACCCTGTGCCCACTCAACAACAGTGTTTCCTGCCCTGGCTCCTTGTCCCCAGAAGATGGATGGCCCACATCATCACTCATTGGAAGGTATTTAAGTAAAAACCACACTTCTGTCTGTGTCCCATTTTCCCACTGAGTGGGAGAGGCAAGCTTATTAAGTCACATTAGATGTGGCTTTTTAAACTTCCCTTCACAGCGTTCAGTTGTGAATCTGAGTCCTATCACAGCACTCTGCCTTTTTATGAGTAAATGGACTCTGCTTAGTCTCTTGGGGGTTTCCAGCCTCCTTTCTGCACGGCTTCTCTGGTGGTGGCTCAGGTGATTA